CAATAATTTTATTGTTGACAGATTATGATCAGTGAGATTTACCAAACAAACCAAGCATGTTATGGTCAATTCAGTGACTTCAAGCCCAAATCACCAACAACATTCTGGATAGTTGGTTTGATGTGATAGTGCTTATATGCTGTGTCGGGGTTTTTACCAAACGTGGTGATGTGTACTATGGCTAAACATTGGTCTCGTCTTGTAACCAAAAGTCTTGCGAGTTGTTCAGATGCTTTGTTGGAGCCTTGCTCCAGGCAACATTTCCAAACAAGTTGTACTTGTTCAGCCTTCTTCTAATTGTACCGTCTGCAACTTTAACATTTAACATTGTAACTGAGGCCTTCAGAGCCAGACATTTAGATCTCTTGTTTCTTTATCACCGAGTGGTCTGAGTTTGGGGTAAATTTACTGGGACAGCTGCTCCTGGCATGATTGTGGTGTTGTGTTAACATACACCTGCCAAAGCTTCTGCTCTCATAGAGGTGCTCATACTTTTTTGTATTAACAATTTCAATATGCAAAAATATTTAGGAGCTAAATGAGCGCCCCCTTTTTGACTCACCCTTCATGCTGCAGCTTTCTCTGCCAGAATGAGAAAGGTGGATGGCTGCTGTCACCCTGCAGCAAAGTTTACAAGAAATGATATGATTAGAAGATTGTGGCAGACGGAGCAGTTTTCCTGCATACAGACAGCTTTCATTTGAGTTTCTTCTGCATTCATTTGCACTCTCACAACAAAACAAAGCAACAGTGGATAAGAGCAGGTGAAGAAATTGCTTTTCTTCACGTGACTGGAAACCTTTATTGGCATTTTAATGCGTAAATACAGACTGCAAGGAAACAGTAGAAAGAACTAGTTAGTGAAGGTTTAATTTCATTCAGACTCACAGGTGAAGTTATTAGTGGAAACAGTCACCACCTGAAAAAATCAGGTACATTCAGCTGCTCCCTCGCCACAAGGGATTACGCTGCATGTTCAATTAGACAGAGGTTTATACCAGATGCCCTTTCCTACTGGAAACAAACCAGCAACCTTTGGCTTAGCAAGTGTTCAAGAAGTAACAAGAAACAAGGATACGCAATGGAAAACATAAAATAGCAAGAGAAATTATGAATACCAGTAAAAGAACAAAAGCCAGAAAGCAGAAAGAATAATACAATAACAATATATCAGTGGGAAATAATTATAAGCAGGCAATAAAAAAGAAATCTAAGATAAAGATTAGGGCTGAACGATTATGGAAAATAATCTAATTGCGATT